GCCCATTCGTACCTGGTCATCACCTGTACCCAGATGAATGTGAGGTGGAGTTGGAAAGAAAAGGAGAAGTTGTCAGGCTCTGGTGATGTCAGTTTGTACTGGTTAGTAGTGCGGCCTGCTGAGTAGGGCAGGCTTGGATAGACCTGGGTCCAGATCCTTGTTCTGCTGTCACTAACTGGGAGACTTAGGCTAAATTACTTCCCTTCCATGAGCTGCAGTTTGTTTATAATCGCCATAGTAACAGTAACCTTATGAGGGTTAAATGACTTGCTACGTGTCATACCTGGTGCATCATGGATGTTGAATAGAATGCTATTATTGTTATGTAGGTGTTAACATCAAATCTCTGTGCAATATAAACCTTTTTTTTAAAAAGATTTTATTTATTTATTTGAGAGAGAGAGAAAGAGAGCACGAGAGGGAAGAGGGTCAGAGGGAGAAGCAGACTCCCTGCCGAGCAGGGAGCCCGATGTGGGACTCGATCCCGGGACTCCAGGATTATGACCTGAGCCAAAGGCAGTCCCTTAACCAACTGAGCCACCCAGGCGCCCCAATATAAACCTTCTTACCTTATGAAGCTTCACTGTTTCCTAAGTTCGTCACATGTTGTGCATTAAAAGGTGGGGAGTGGGATGGGGTGGGGTTTAGAGAAGATGGATATTTAAGAGCTATTTATTATTATTTTTTAAGCAGGCTCCACACCCGGTGTGGAGCCCAATGTGGGCCTTGAACTCACGACCCTGGGATATAGACCTGAGCTAAGATCAAGAGTCGGATGCTTAACTGACTGAGCCACCCAGGCACCCCTTAATAGTTATTTTAAATACCCATTCACAGAGCTAAGGACCTGTGGCATTTAGGGATATTAAATTGAGAACTATTCAGCCAATAATTGCAAATTTACTAGCAGTTTACATGTTTGAAATTGTTGCTACACAGAGCCATGAGCTGATGAACTTCAAGGCATCCAGCATCTCCCTCTGGCAAAGCAGGCAGAGTATGAAGACATGCCTATGCAACCAGCAGTGTCATAGCACACTGGGTGTAACTTGCAATGGCTGGAATGTCATTGGGCACCACAGGGACCACCATGGATTTGCCAAGAACAAGTCACTAAACTGACCTTGTTTCCTTTTACCTTCTTGGTAAGGCTGCTAGGATACAGGTCAGGCAGTGGTGCAGGTAGGGCAAGGGATCTGTCAAAACACCTCAGGATGTCCTTGAGGACCAAAGGAGATCTGGGCTAGGCACAAGCCCATTCGTACCTGGTCATCACCTGTACCCAGATTGGGGATTAAAGTTAACTTGGAGAAAAGTTTCTCTGCTGAAATGAGATAGCACCATGGAGTTCAGGTTGAAGGTGGTCAGGCGTATGCTTATTTATTGAACATTTATGATGGACTGCATCTCCATGATGGTGGCTGAAGTGCTTTGTTCAACACATGGTAGAGTTCCTGCCCTCTTACCCTATTTGTAGAAAGGAATCTGTTGGATTGACCAAACGTCTCAGCTTCCTGTGAGTGCTGGGCATAGTACGAGAGAGAGGGGAAAATCAGACTACCATACCTCGGACCCATTTTACAGATGAAAGCTGAGGTTCAGGGAGGTTGGG